AGATGGTCAATAGGTCAAAAGGACAAAAAAAAAAAAAAATATGGATTTTTTTTAGAAAAATAATAACAAAATATTCAAAAATGGCAAATTATCAAAATATCCCTAAAATTATGAGTAATTACAAAACTGCCATTAAATAAAATGTGCAACTTGATTTGGTTCTAGAACCGACCAGTAGAATAAAATCGAACAATAGTATTCCACGACTCAGATAAAGCTGACATCAAAATCAATTCTTTAATTTAATTTTCTAAATTAATTTACACCGAACTCAGTTGATTTATAATCATATTGAATTCATTTATATGATCAGCAACAAATCCATCTTCAGACATTTGTAAATTGAACAATCTCCGCATCAAATACACCTTGTGCATAATTGACGATTTTTCATACATATTCGACAGCGTCTTCAACAGATATGACGTTGTCTTCTCCTTGATGATGTTGAACATCACGTTTCTGAATAGCATTAATCAAATTAACTATAAAGCCTGTTAATCCTTGAGCTTCCACTGCTCCGTGGTCATGGTATCCGGCTTCACCTCTAACTGGATTTCGTGAAGATCTTTCTGGTACAATAATCTTAAATCTGCATCTTTCAGAAATCGAAATTGGATCCATCGAACATCTCAATTCTAATTCGTGAAGATCTTTCTGGTACAATCATCTTAAATCTGCATATTTCAGAAATCGAAATTGGATCCATTTGAACTCTCCATTTTCAAGGATCGCAAGTGAATCTCGCCTAGATCTGATACCAGTTGTTAGGATCACATAACAATGCATACATAGATCTAATCTAGATTAACAAAATAAAAAATAAAAAAGGAGAGAGAAAAGATCACACAACAATACACACACTAGATAAAAACAGGAGAGAGAAAAATACAACGAGGAATATTGGCTACAGATTTATATTACTGACTTCAATACAAGAAGAGAATACGAAGAAAATACATTTTCAAAACATTGTTAAGGGAGTATACATAATTTCTATCATATATATCTCTACTTGCTTATTAATATAAATAGTTTCTATGTATGACCGTTTTTCATATATAGTTTTACTATCTATAACAATTGAATAAGCTATAAATAAGCAACTCTCCAACCGTGTCTAGAGAATTATTGTACATTCACTTCATCTAGACTGACAATTCACCTAAGAGAAGACGATTTTAAATGATCGGTCCCATTATTCTATATGTGTTTGCATTCCTCAACCCTAATAGTGGAGTCACTAGCTGAATTTGAAACGTTTTATTTAATGTTTTGCATACATTATTAAATGTATGCATGTAGTGATGTCTCTGATTTAGACAATAAAATTACTAGCCTAACAAGGTTATTAAAAGGATTAGTCTTCTAGTTAGTTAATAAGTCCTATTCATTAGGAGTTTGTGATTTGTTTGACTAGTTACTTAGCTGTGAACGTTATTATTTGTTAGCTGATTTTTTCTTGGTTGATTTGTAAAGCTATTTATACAAGTGTTTGAGTTCTTCAAACAATACAAGTGTAAGGCCTTGGTGAGAGTTTCCATGCCCTTGTAAAGCATGATTTGTACAAGGGTGATTTGTGCTCCTCTTGAAACGTGAGATCTCACAATTTACCTATTTCAGGTTCACAATTTACCTATTTCAGGTCCAGCGTCCTTGTGTTCCCTTCTCCAATTGATGTGGGACCCCCCAATCTACTCCCTTCGAAACCAGTGTCCTTGCTGGCACACCGCCTCATATCCATCCCCTTCAGCGCTCAGTCTCCTCGCTGGCACATTGAACGGTGTCTGGCTCTGTTACCATTATGAACAAAACAATTATGAATATGGTTAGATGCATGCTAGAAAAATGTACCAAAAGCTTTCTGGCTAGGAGCAGTAAACTAGACGGTTCATATTCTCAATAGAAGTCTTACTCTAGTCATGAAGCATATGGCTCCAGAAGAAGTTTGGAGCGAACATAAACCATCAATTTTACATTTCAGAATTTTTTGATGTATTGTGTACGTTCATGTCCCACACAACAAAAGAACAAAACTGAAGGATAAAAATTTGGATAAAAGTTTGAAGTGTGTATTACTTGGAGTTAGTGAGGAAGAAAATGACTAGGATTGACAATAAACCCATCTAGAAGAAGTTACATTTGATGATTTATGTGGGTATATAATGATGTTGAAATTTGGAAGTATGAAATATACAATGAAGATTTATGTGAGTCAGCACAAGAACACTCATCTGCTGATGCTGAAATAAGAATTAGGAGGCCATCAAGATGGATGGCTGATTATGAGAGTAGTGAAGGTTCTTCCGAGGACGAAGATATTGCATATCTAGCCTTATTTGCAAGAGGGATCCTATTTATTACACATAAGCCACCAAAAGTTCTAAAGGGAGAAAATTTATGGATCTAGAAATAGAAGCCCTTAGGGAAATGATACTTGAGAATTGATAAAACTACTGGAAGGAAAAGAAAATTGGTGTTAAGTTGATCTTTAAGACAACTCAACGATAATAAAGAGGTCGATAAATACAAAGCATGTCTTGTGGCAAAGAAATATGCACAACATAGAATTGATTATGTTGAAGTCTTCGCACTTGTAGCTCGACTTGATACAATCATAGTGGTTATTTCTCTTGCCCTCTGACATAGAGAACTAAGTCAAGAGGTCTATGTTGAGTAGCCACATAATATAAAAATAAAGGAAGTGAGCATAAGGTATACAAACTAAAGAAGGCTTGATACTGTCGGATAGAGTCTTATTTTGAGAAGCAAGGGTTCGAAAAATGATCTTATGAGCACACTTTGTTCATCAAGACAGAAGATGAAGGTAAGATTTTGATTTTATGTCTCTATGTTGATGATCTAATTTTCACCGGTAATGATGAACATATGTTTACAAAGTTTAAGCAATCTATGATGGATAAATTTCATGTGACTGATCTTGGAAGGATGAGACATTTTTTTTTTTTTTATATTGAAGTTATGGAGAGCTCAAATGAAATTTTTATTAGTCAAAAGAAGTATCCACAAGAAGTGTTGGAGAGGAAATGAAGAGCTGAGCGCTTTTACCGATAGTGATTATGTTGGTGATATAGAAGATAGAAAGAGCAGAAAGAGCACTACATGCTATGTGTTTAAATTAAGTACATGAGCTTTTTCATGGTTTTCAAGAAAACAATTTGGAGTCAACTTGATCCTACCATAATTTTTTTTGTGAGAACAGTTCAACCATTCAATTTTCTAAAAATCCCGTTATGCATAGTCATAGCAAACATATAAACGTTCAGTGTCACTTTCTTCAAGAGGTATCAAATGAAGGAATTGTGAAAATGGTTCATATTCGTGTGCAAAATCGGCCAAACATCTAAAGCTTAATATTTCTGTGAAGATGATTTAGCCAACATTAGTATCAAAGCTTTAAGTTATAGATTACATAGATATAGTTATATGTTGTAAGCAGTTGTTGTTGCATTTTTGCTTGCATCAAATCTTGCTTTCAAAACTATTTCTCGAGATCTCTCTGTCCTATTTTCTAAAATTTTGTTCTTGAACCGAGGTCACAAGCTCGAACATACGTCGCTTGGTGGTAGGCGACTCGAGAACAAATTGACTTAACTCACCCGTGGATAGAAAGGGAGTGTAACAAGGTGAGGTGGAAGACAATGATAAAATGGAAAGAAGCCAAAAATTGAAAAAGATAATGAATAATTAAAAAAAAAAAAAATGGTTATTTGGTTAGTTGAATAAAAATAAAATGAAATGAATACGTTAAAGTGGGGCACGTGGGGACGCCAACCCAATAAATGCAAAATTTCCCCCCCAACTTGGTGACGTGGTTGTTTCGGAGAGTGGCCAACATCCCTATTTAATTAACACATCTCTCTCTCTCATCGCTGTCTTTCATAATATCTTCCTTTTTTTACCCTAAATTTTATTATTTAATAATTTCCATAAAAAATCATTTTCCAATAACCAGATTTGATTTGAGATTATTAAATGTGCAAATTAAATATTTATTTCTAATATTTTTTATCTTTTTGTTTTTTGCTTTAAACCTTTGTGTATTATTTTATTTTACTCAATATTTTGTAATATTCCTTTTTGTTTCCCTACAACTCATATTATCATTAATTTATATATCATAAAATTTTATTTTATTGAAATTAGGAAGATTTTTATGCTAGACGAACACGACTCTCCTCAAAAGACTTCATTCCAATTGAGAGAGTATCATTTACTTATAAACCCATGATCATTCCCTAAATTAGCTGATGTGGGACTTTCATCATCCTATACCTCCCCTCGAATAAAGTACGTCTCCCCTTAATCGAGTCTTAGTCTTACTGCCTTCGAAGAGGCTTGACTCCTTTTCTTTTGGAGTCCTTTGTTTGACATTTGAGGATTTATCAATCTATTGACACGACTAAGTTTAGGGCATGACTTTGATACTATGTTAGACATACACGACTCTCCACAATCATATGATATTGTCCACTTTGAGCATAAGCTATCATGGTTTTGCCCTAAACTTAATTATGATATTGTCAACAATGGTACAATATCATGCTCTGATACCATGGTTAAGTCTAGGGCAAAGCCATGAGAGCCTATGCTTAAAGTGGACAATATCTTAACATTTTTAAGCCACGAGAGCTTATACTTAAAGTGAACCATATTTATTTATATTTAAGGACAAATTTGTTGAAATTTAAAATTTAGAGTAATAAGTTGATGGGGTCAATATTAATTATTACTTTTATTTTCAAAATTAAAACGATTTAAAAATTATTTTTTCTACGTAAAAAAAAAAAAATTCATGAAGGATAGTGATGAGTCCTCCTTATTAATTATTACTCACGATCAACGTTCACTGCCATGAGATACGATTGGATATTAAACTCGGCCGCAGGGGATCATAACCCGGGCGCGACGATCTTATCTTCCAGAAAGTATCTATAATATGTGACTGTGGAGATGCCTCGTCGTCGACCGGGATAAACAAAAAGGAAAATTACGAACGCAAAATTCCTCCGTTCATCCATCTCCGTTTTATTTTCCAGAATCTTCACAGCGTCGGCGTCGGCGAGACGTACGGAAACCATGGGAGTCGTGGAGGAGGCACAAAATGTGAAGATCATCGGCGGCGGGCAGCAGACGGTGGTTCTCGGCCACGGATTCGGCACTGATCAATCGGTCTGGAAACACCTGATTCCGCATCTCGTCGACGATTACAAGGTGGTTTTGTACGACAACATTGGCGCCGGAACTACCAATCCGGATTACTTCGATTTCGAACGCTATAGAACGCTGGAAGGCTTCGCCTACGACTTGCTAGGGATTTTGGAGGAGCTTCGGATTGATTCCTGTGTGTTTGTCGGCCACTCTGTTTCCGCCATGATCGGCGCCGTCGCCTCCATCACTCGCCCCGACCTCTTCCAGAAGATTATAATGATCTCCCCGTCGCCGAGGTACTTTCATTTCTCCTCTTTCTCTTCGCCGGTGGTATGAAACTGAACACGCCGTTATGTTTGTTTAGATTTAGACTTTTTTTTTTTTTTTTTTTTTTTTTTTTTTTAATTTTTAAAAAATATAATAATAATAATAATATTTTTATTTTTATTGGTCAAGCTAATACGGAACGTGTGAATAATGAGTCGGATATATTTTAAATATTTTTTTAAAAATATTTTATTTATTCATTTTTTTAATCTTCCTTTTGGAATGAAATGGTTTTATGTATTCGGTCATATTTAATTATTTATAAATAATTTAAGGGGTTTTCCTAGTAAGAAAATGACACATTTTTAGGGTTTTTTTTTTGTGTGATATAATTTTTTTTTAATCATAAATATTTTTTTTGTGTAATATTTATGGTTAAAATATTATTTAATCATAATTTTTCTTTGTGTGTAATATAATTTTTTTTAACCGTAAATATATATATTTTTTTTTGTGTAAAATATTATTTAACCTTAAATATTTTATTTTTTGTGTAATATAATTTTTTTAATCATAAATATTTTTTTTTTGTGTAAAATATTATTTAACCGTAAATATTTTTTTGTGTAATATATAGTTATTATTAGTCTTCCCTTCGTAGAAGTAATTAATTTTGTTAAAAAAAAAATAATTTTGAATGACTTAATTTAAGATTAATTGAAAATATAGAGATTAAATTTAAAAAATGAAATTGAAGGACTAAAATTCCGATTTTGTTAAAATTAGATTGAATTACCTTTTTTGTTTGAAATTTATTGAAGATTAAAAAAAAATTGTTTTTTTTTTGTGGATCAGGTACTTGAACGACGAAGACTACTTCGGAGGATTCGAGCAAGAAGAACTGAACCAACTATTCCAAGCAATGCAGTCGAACTACAAGGCCTGGTGCTCTGGGTTCGCCCCTCTGGCCGTGGGTGGCGACATGGACTCCGTGGCTGTTCAAGAGTTTAGCCGAACCCTGTTCAACATGCGCCCGGACATAGCATTGAGTGTGGCGCAGACCATCTTCCAAAGCGACATGAGAAACATTCTCGCCCTTGTCACTATCCCCTGCCATATCATCCAAAGCATGAAGGACATGGCGGTCCCGGTGGTGGTTTCCGAGTACCTCCACTGCAACCTCGGTGGCGACTCCATTGTCGAGGTCATGGAGTCCGACGGCCACTTGCCTCAGCTCAGCTCCCCTGATATTGTCATTCCGGTGATTCTTAAGCATATTAAGTATGACATTGCAGCCTAGTTTTTGTTGGACGTATATATATATATATTTATTATGATTTGTTAGCAATAATGTAATTGTCTCCCCCATGTCTCATTGTTTTTCTTCGTTTATATATGTTTTGCTTAAAGATTACTGTTTGAAAACGATTTGTAATTTGTAATTTCCCATCTCGAATCGGTCCCAATTTTAGACTAAATAACTCTTTCGGATTCATGGACTCTAAAGCTCCATAGCTTGCGTTTGTCATTGTCGTAGTCATGCAACTCAACTATCATAAACTATCATTAAAAACAATAGCAAGTAATTAGCATGCTTGTATCTTCCTAAACAAAGCTTAATGTTCATCGTGTCTCTATCCGTTCTTCTAGTTTCCGGAGGGCTTTTGCCTCAACGCTTTAACTTGCTAATAGGTTAGATATATCTCTCTACATTCTCGATCATCCGTAGTATTCTTTCAAGTCTTAGGACATTTTACTACACAGTTGCACTGTGTAAAGGTAATCATCCGATAGGAATCATCGCATCAATAGCAATAAGTCCTGTTTGAAGAGGCTCATATACGGAACGTCAAGCCTTCAATAATACTTCTCTTTTAATCACCTTAGTGTTAGGAACATATAATTGGCCTCATCAAAGTAAGAAACTATCTTCCTATCAGGTATGGTAAGCATTATTAAAGATGCAAACCTCTTCTTTGGGTTCGTGAAAACTCTTCTCATACTCATCATTCCATACAAATAGCTTCCCCTTACTTGTTAACTAAGTTAATGTTGCTGATATGTTGGAGAAGTCTTAAATGAATCCATGGTAATAGTTTATCATCCTTAAGAAACTTGTTGTGTCTATTATAGCAGTTGGATGCAACTAGTGTCGTGGCCTGATTAACAAGGTTTCAAATCACGTAACATGATTAAAAAGACAAGAAAAAAAAGGAAATAACCTAAAAATAAAATTAAATAAAAATACGAAACATGCTCTAAAGTTTAAATCAAATTAAAGAAAACAAACAAAATCACAATTAAAACAAAACAAAATTCAATTACAAGTTAGTGCTATTCAAGCTTATTACAAATCGAGAAAAAATTTGAGATAAATTTTTTTTTAAAAAAATACAAAAGACCCCAAAAATTCAATGACTAGACCGAAACCCTGAGACGACCCCCTCCATGACCGTGCAACTCTTGAACGCTCCACGACCTCACTCGATAGCCTGCAAACACTAGAAAAAAAATGAGGGGATGAAGTGAGTATAAAAATACTCAGTAAGTAACCTACTTGTACGCTCTCATTGTATCCTTATTCAAGTAAGTTACCACGATCTTTTCTCAAGGCTCTAAGAAGTTCGAGCCGAGTTCAACTACCTCAGCTTCTGGGACTGCCTCGCAATTTCAAGTGGTACTCTTGCATGTCACACACTCGGTCAGGGTATGGGGTTGTTATCATATTCACCAAGGACAACCATCATGAGTTATTTATCTGTGTAGTCTCAAGTCCCCTTTTAAGACGGGTTCACAAGGTTGCATCCTCAAACTATGACTAGTTCCTACATTCAATAGAAACATTCACTGGACAACTACCAATGTAGTTCCAAGTCTCTTTTCAAGACTAGTTTACAGAGTAGCGACATCAGCATTGTCTCGTTTCTACACTCAATAGAAGAGCGAATTACCTATGTAGTTCTAAGTTCCTCCTTTGGACTGGTTTTTTGACCAATTCCTACATTTCTAGAACACTCACCCTTTGGCAGGAAGGGGATGGAAATTACTCTAGAGAGACGAAAGGGTTATTTTCAATCCCTTATTAAGGGGTCTAGAATTAGTTTGATTATGACTAATTGGGGGAAGAAAAAGAAAAGAGAAACCCTAGAGAGAGAAGGAAGGAAGTAAGGACGAGACCTCCCAATTCACCCAACCTAGAGTTAGTTTTCGGCTAAAGTTCCTTCACCAAACCTTTTTAGAATCGTGTGGAGATCAAGTCTAGATACTTGAATCATCATCTAAAACCGTAAAAAAAATTGAGAAAGAATGAGAGCTATGTTTTGAGTCTTCGTTCGTGACTTTTCTATTAAATTTTAATATGATAGTTCTTGAAAGAATTTTGCTTTCCCGCCAGAATTGAATCGTACGAAAAAAGAAGAGTTGAAGGTAAAGAATGGTAAATTTTGTAATTTTGGATTGAATTTGAATATGTTTATATCTCCCCATAGTTAGCTAAAGAGAAGGAAAATAATTTGTTCGAGTTACATATGAAAAGATACAAAAAAAAAAAAAAAAAAAAAAA